TGAGGGATTGGAGATCTTATATGTTAGAGAAAAGCGCATAAAGGTTGCGCATTTGGTGAGTGCGCAATTTGTACCCCCATTGTTTCACCGTGTACACAGTCGGTGTTGCCTGGAAAGCATCCAGAGTGTTTGAGAATTTATTCACATCCTCACATTGAACTCTCTCTTGGATTTAATAATCCTTTCCTCACGTTCTACCAGACACAACGTAGTGGCTTATACCTGTATGCACTATGTCACTTTGAACTTTTATATGAGTTTGCATATGTAATACGTATTTTCATCTACTTGTATATTAGCGCTGCACCTTTTTTTATATAATGACTTAGTACTTGTTGGCAAATCCCTTGTTGGCAATCACAGAGGTCAGACGTTTCCTGTAGTTGGCCACCAGGTTTGCACACATCTCAGGAGGGATTTTGGCCCACTCCTCTTGGTAGATCCTCTCCAAGTCATTAAGCTTTGGTGGCTGACGTTTGGCAACTCAAACTTTCAGCTCCCTCCACAGATTTTCAAATCGGATTAAGGTCTGGAGACTGGCTAGTCCACTCCAGGACTTTAATGTGCTTTTTCTTGAGCCACTGCTTTGTTGCCTTGGCCGTGTGTTTTTGGTCATTGCTGGAATACCCATCCGCGACCCATTTTCAATGCTCTGGCTGAGGGAAGAAGGTTCTCACCCAAGATTTGACGATACATTGCCTTGTCCATCGTCCCTTTGATGCAGTGCAGTTGTCCTGTCCCCTTAGCAGAAAAACACCCCCAAAGCAGAATGTTTCCACCACCATGTTTGATAGTTGGGATTGTGTTCTAGGGGTCATAGGCAGCATTCCTCTTCCTCCAAACACGGAGAGTTGAGGCCAAAGTGCTCGATTTTGGTCTCATCTGACCACAAAACTTTCAACCAGTCCTCCTCTGCATCATTCAGATGTGCAGTGGCAAACCTCAGACAGGTCTGGACATGCGCTTTCTTGAGCAAAAGAGACCTTGCGGGCACTGCAGGATTTCAATCCTTGTCGGCGTAGTGTGTTACCAATTGTTTTCTTGGTGACTGTGGTCCCATTTGCCTGGAGATCATTGACAAGATCCTCACGTGTAGTTCTGGGATGATTCCTCACTGTTCTCATGATCATTAACACTCCACGAGGTGAGATCTTGCATGGTGCACCAGACCTAGGGAGACTGACAATAGTTTTGTGTTTCTTCCATTTGCAAATGATTGTACCAACTGTTTTCACCTTCTCACCAAGCTGCTTGGTGATAGTTTGGCAGCCCAGTCCAGCCTGGTGTAGGTCTATAATCTTGTCCCTGATATCCTTGGACAGCTCTTTGGTCTTTGCCATGGTGGAGAGTTTGGAATCTGATTGTTTGATTGCTCCTGTGGACAGGTGTTTTTTATACAGATAACAAAATGAGATTAGCAGCACTCCCTTTAAGAGACTGCTTCTAATCTCAGCTTGTTACCTGTATGAAAGACACCTGGTAGCCAGAAATCCTGCTGAATGATTGGGGATCAAATACTTATTTCCCTCGTGAACAAGCAAATCAGTGCATAATTTGTTAGACATGCATTTCTTTTGAATGTTTTGTTGCTATTCTGTCTCTCAGTGTTACAATACACCTACCATTCGATTTTTAGACTGACCATTTCTTTGTGAGTGGGCAAATATTCAAAATCAGCAAGGGATCAAATACTTATTTCCTTCACTGTGTGTGTGTATATAAATATAAAATACAGTGGGGGTAAGATAGTACTTCAATTGAGCTTTTGTTACTGTCTGTGTCTCCACAAAACAATGTGAGGAAATCCTCTCCACATATAGGAAGTGAGGAGAAATATCTTCTACATGGACACAGACAGCAATTAAAGCACCTTTCATAGCAGCATGGAAGGGCGTAGAACCCCCATTATGTTTCTGTTGTTGCCTACCATATCAAGTCGTCTTTATTTCTTCTTCTCTCAACAAAACAAGTAAATGGTAGAAAATCTGCCCAATGGGGATACACACAGCAATAAAAACCCAACTACAGATTTAACCCTTCTTCACTCTAACAGAGTAAATGTTTTGACTAGAGGTCTACTTTAACTGAAGAACTGCATAATCTTAAGTAACAAATAGGATTTAAAGAAGAACTCCAAGAAAAAAAAGTATATAAAATCTGCTAGCATACATTGGGGTAGATTTACTAAACCTGGTTCACACAATCTTGTGCAGCTGTGAATAGTAACTAATCAGCTTCCAGGTTTTATTACCAAAGCTAAATTGAACAAGCTGGTTACTATGAACAGCTGCACCAGCATCTGTGTGAACCAGTTTTAGTAAATCTCCTCTAAGGTGTTAAGTGCAGGGAAGTTTATGCCACCTCCTGAATTTCTCTCTTTTGTATATAATGCTCTGTGTCAACGAGTGCTGATAGTATAGACAGCTCTCCTACACAGCAGCTACTCTGTCCGCCCTCCTCTCCAATGCCCATTTACAGAAAGCGTGAGTTTTGTTAAGATGGCATACACCCCAATGCACTTAAGGCCCCATTCACACTGTTTTGAACAGACGTATGGCAGTTTTTTTTTTTCGTGAAGTTTATGTAATGTGCACAAAGTGACACTTCATTCGTGTTGTTCATTCGTGTTGTGTAGCACTTGCTTTGCAGTGACATGCAGGGCCATCCAGGGAGGTGTGATATTCTGCAAACATTTTGTACAGTTGGACGAATTGGGAGCAGGGACTCACTAGATGCCTTTGCTGCCATTGTGCTCTTGCTGGGTGTCCCTGTGCCATCGATGGGTGGGCTTACTCCAGGCATACTTGCCCTTAATCTATTTATATATGTGCTCCTATTATGTAGGCTCTGGAAATTTAGATTTAGAACTGCAGTATATACAGAGGTCCCTTGGCGTGGGCACTGTGGCTTACACATATTTTTGCAAATGCAACCCACGGTTTTTAACAAACGGTTAGACAGGGTCAATTCATTTGCTTTGGCTGGCTGGTAAGTGTGCTGGAAAATCCTTTGTTTTTGATTCTGCAAACATGTTGCATGACATTGCACATCTCTAAAATGCAGAGAAACAATGCATTCTGATGTGAACATGACACAATGAAAACTACTGTTTTTTATATGTCATTGCAATCGCCTGCATTTATTGCTGAGGAAAAACGCAGGTAACTGTGTATAGTGTGAACGGGCCTTAACTACTTGTGTGCCAGCAGATTTTACTTGCTTACCTTTTTTCTTCGAATTCTTCTTTAAAGCCTTATAAGTACTCAGATTAATGCTCAATCCAGTTGTATTTATATTCAAAATAGGAAAGAAAATTCGGTAATGCAGAAATATTTAACGTATCAATAAGACAAGTGTAGCCCAAGTCAGTAACTGACAAAGGTAAATGTATTTTATAGATAAAATGGCAGTGTCAATAAATGGATAAAAAAAAAAAAAAAACAACTCCCTTTATAAATAGTAACTAGAAAAGCTACAATTTCTGGGGAAATTGTGTGAAGTGTTCTTGCCTCCACCAGTAGTCTACAACTGGAGTGGGCAGAGTAACTGGGTGGAGAGGCTTGAGTAACTATTGTGTGGTTGGAGTGGCTGGAGTAACTGTGAAAAGGTTGGACTGGGCAGAGTAACGTTATGGAGTGGGCAGAGTAACTGTGTGGAGTGTTTGGAGTGAGTAAAGATAGTAAACATTACACTAACCGATTGATTGATCAAATTTAAAACGTGCACATGGCAAGCTTGATAGAGTGAGAAATGCATTTCAACTTTTATTTTTCAGCTCACACTCTAGCTTTTGTCACTCTGCTGCCTGCTCACACACCTGGGTTCCTATGGCAACTCACTCTACAGCAAGGGCAGAGAAGAGCGGTTAAAAACCTTGCTCACTTCACTGGCGGTTGCCATCTTCAAACGGTTGTAGTTTAAAAATGATAAATCCTACACCGAAGAGCTTTATATTGTGAGAATCACAAGACCCAGACTACACATACTGCATAGTATGTCTGAAATATTAAAAATGAAGGCAAAGTCGCAGTTTAGAAATTTGAGGTGGCTAGAGTGGAGTTTCAATGAATGTCAATGGGCGGCGTGAGTTGCAAACAAATGGTCATATTGTGAAAACTATCAGGACTATGGCTTAGCCGTGGACATTTTTAGTGGCAGCAGGGATAGCTGAACGTTTTGATATAAGATTTGTGTAGGTGGGCTTGAAATGAGGGAGTGATGGCAGTTTAGAAATCATGTCCTGATTTTTTAGCTCCCACTCTAGTTTTGAACATTCCGCCATTCATTCCTATGGGACCAATTTCACCACAAAAACGCCGATATTTCGTGAACCATTCGGCGAAACATTCCACAAAGTAATAGCACACCAACTGGGAACAATCCGCACGTTTTGGTATATTACTGTCTATGTAGTGTAAGAACTGTGGGAGGAGTTAGTGTGCTAAATTTGGCTAGAATAAGAAGAATATATATGTGAGATAACAGTAAGTGGTCTTAATTATCAAGCTGCTGTATATGCCTGTACAGGCTATAGTATCCAATGAGCAAGGATCATTGGCATGAAAGAAATAAACATGCCTGTCCAGCCCCACAAAACAACAAGCAAAAAAAAACCACTTACCAGCAAACACAAAGGACACACCAAGATCCTTATTTCATGACACTAACTTGTAATCACATGTTTACACAAAAAACTGAGGTTGCACCTTAAATCAGTCAAATATTTTGAAAATCATGACTGTTCAGTAGAGTAGTGCAAAGAGCAATGATGATACAATCTACAGTCGTGTTACTGTAGTCAGATCACTTAGGAGAGGATTTTGATGAATCTTGAATTCCTGCTCTTTGCAATAACATGCTGAATATGAGTGAATAGTTGTAATATAGTGCTTAGTCTTCAGCTCCTAACATTCTGTAAGCTAATAAAAAGAAAAAAAAAATCTGAAAGAGAAAGCAACAAGAAATGGAAAACGGAAGTACTAAACGAATGGTGTACTCACCATTTACACACAACTGCTTGAGCTTGTTGAAAGCGCCCTGAATGTCCTGGATAGTTGGGAGGCCATGATCTAGGTCACATTTGTAAACATCACTCCTCAGTGGGTGACTACGGGTGATTCCACCACAAACCCTACGCAAAGAAAAGAAGGTTGATCTTTAAAGTATATATGAACCCTCACCTTGTTAAAAAAAAAAAAAAAATTCAGTTTAAAATAGAAATGAAAGGCAAAACATTTGTGTTTACATATTAAAAAAAAAAAAAAAAAGTAAAGGAAGGGGAAAGGTATTTATAAAGTTTTTTGTTTTTTGTAAGTGATCACATATCCTCTGTAGCTGTATGAGGAGCTCCAATAGCGAAGAGAAGAGAAACAGCAGCAATATGGTCTTCCCAGTGAATGGTTTGGGTGGGGGGCTTGTCAGGACAAGTCTGATCATTGGAAAATAGCAGGCTGAGTTCCCAGCATAGCTAGAGAACTGACCATGCTGTGTTCTCATGCCTAGCGTGGTCAGTTTTAAGGGGGACTGGCAGGAACACCATGGATTCCACATAAAGGAAGCAATACAAACAGAACAGGATACTTTATCATACAAAAACATGGTGCAGCAGGCACAAATGACCTATTTGAAATGTTGGGTTTACATATTCTTTAAGACGATGGTTTAAATAGCCTTGAAGATCTTCTAGTATGCTTGTAGGCAAGTCATGAGATTTTATATCAAGATAATTCCTCTCACAAGTTCAAGCTGCAAACACAAGGTGGGTAGTAGACAGAAACTCTGATGTGTATGGACCAATACTGAGCACAGAAAGTTTGCCATTTATGCGGAGACCAAAAAATAGGCTCACTTTCTGCTTTGGAAATTGCCTTTGAGGGGAATGTGCACAAAAATTAAAATCATCACTGCCAACAGTAATACTGGAGCTCCTGCAGTCAAGATCGGAAGCTCGCATGTGTAGGGCATGATAAAAATCCTGAAGAATAATAATAATAGTCCAAAAAGTGGAACTAAATGTAAATAAAAATTTGTGAGCAGGCAGGTTTTTTTTTTTTTTTATTACAGAAGACACAGGTCTCTTCTACATGTTCAACTGCCTGCCTCTTCGCAATCCTCGGTAATTTACACTGAGCTGGGCACATACAGCTCAGTTTACATTCTGGCACACTGTCAGTGTACCAGGATGACTGCACTCCTGTGCAGGTACAATATGGACATCATCCCACCCTAGCTAAGCAAAATGGCTGAAAACTGCCACCTAAAAAAACCTTGGGAAAAAGATGCCAGTACCGGCGAAGGACCTCCTTGGCATTGGACTGTTGCTACTAAGGTAAGTATGGCATTTAAGTAAAACGACAGAAGTGGCGATTAATTTAATTTAGTATGGCAATTCATTTAATTTAGTATGGCAATTCATTTAAGTATAATGACAGAAGTTGTAATTCATTTCCACTAACAAATGATAAAAACAAAGTGTGCAATAGTCTAATTATATTCATGCATCAAAATGTAAACAGAACAGAAACAATGCACAAATGCCTCCTATGTATATGGTTTATAACCTGCAGTTTGTAACAGAGCCCCTTTGTACTACACTGCTCAGCGTTGCACTCCTTCATGTTCCTGCTCTGCAATCTTTTTCCTGTTGTGCTACCAGTTTATATAGAATAGTCTTTGTTTTCCCTTTCAACCCCAGCTCTCATTCACTGATCTTTCACTGTCCAGCACGGCAATACTACTCATCCTTGTACATTGCTTTAATATTATTCAACGTGATCCCCATTGCACTTATTTCAAAAACAAATGACAGTTTTGTTTGTGTTCCCAATAGAGACTTCAGATTTGGCAGTCAGTTGGGAGTTAGACTACAGTTTTGGTCATCCTTAATGGTGAAATATTTCAACTAGAGTTTCCATACCAGAGGTTTCTAGGTACCACCTAAAGCAAGGATGTGTACCACAAGTGATATACGTCCAAAACCTTAAAGTGTCATTAAGCCCACATCATTAAAAAAAAAAAAAACTATCAAATGCTGTATTACATGCTGTTCATACTACATCACTATGGGATTTGTTTTCTGTATTCTGCACAAAACCTGGTTAACCCTCTTGTTCTCTATCCCTCCCTCCTGTCTATGTCCCCACGGCAGCTGGGAATTCTGCAGAGCAGATGTTGGCAGCTAGTGCACATGCTTAGTTTTCAGTGTATTTCTACCCTGAGCATTTCCTCCTTGATCACATCTGAGCAGCCCAAGTGACAATAGAGTCACGCAGGTGGGTGTATACACTCTGGTAAATTACAACCCACTCCCTGCTCCTCCATGCCCACTAAACAGCTAAACACAAAGGGGCAGGATATTAAAACTTAATTGATGGAGGCTTCACACCCCTCTTATTTGATGCACATGCACACATGTATACTGCTTTCATGGTATTTACAAAGTGTGCATTTCACTCCTTCCCCTTCTGGGTTTTATAATCCTTTTACCTTTGGTCTATTTTGCGTTGATGTAACAGGTCCTTGATGCTCGCCATCCTCACAAGTGCACTTCCATTAGAATGGTTCCAGCACCACAGCTGCATAAAAAACAAAGAAAAGGTCACATCCAAAACAGCAAATGTTACAACTTCTCTGCCTAAACTGGATTCCAGTGGTAAAAAATGCTTTCAGGTATTGGATGGGTCAATAAACAACCACTTAAAGGCTATTAAATGCTGTATATGCATAATTTAAGATCTAGAAAGATCAACATCATTGCCTGTAAAAGTCTTCAGTCAATACATACTCACTGGCATGCGTCTTCCAAAAAACGAGTATGAATACTGCTTGAGATCTGTATCTGCCAAAGAGGAGGGAACAACAAAGTATTCTGGAAGGCTAGAAAGACACAGGAAACTGGCTATTAGTTGTGTGCATATTCAAAACAAATGGACTGAGATAGTAGTCTGTTAATCACTGTGGCATTTATTACAGTCAATAGTTGTAAATAATTCCAAACTGAACCATGCTTACCAGGATAACTGAACAAACACATAATACAATTTAATGTAAGGTTACCCCTTTTACCATACTAATGCGGGAAAATGCAGTCAATTTAAAGCCACTGGCACTGGAAATTAAGGAAAATACTGCATCTTGCAGGTTGGTAGTGACTGCAAAATAAACATGAAGAAAATACTTGCAGTTACTGTCACTGCAAATTGTCATTATAAATATAAGTTGGTGGCTAAGTTTGCATTGTAAGGCAACCTGTATTTTAAAGGGCCGCTTCACCCCTAAAATATTTTAGTTGTGGGTTATTGGTGGGTTGAATTATCCATTTTTATTTTTTCAAGTTATTTGTGATGAGCTTGGGTATCCTCCAAACTCATCTCTAGCCTGAACTCCGAACTCCCTCTTTTCTGTATTCCAATGAGCTTCAGGACAGGGAATGATCTGGCCCACAGATTGCTGGAGTAAAAAAACAAAAAAAAAAAAAAAGGAAGAAGCAGGAGTTCAGGCTAGGGATGTGTTCAGATGTTCAGAGATCAATCATACTCAGCCTCAGAGCTTCCCATAAGGACAATAAGAGATAAGTGGTTAGCACTTCCGCCAAACAGCTCTAGGGTCATTGGTTCAAATCCCAACCACAGCACTACTTGCACAGAGTTTGCATGTTCTCCCTGTGCCCGAGTGTGTTTCCTCCGGGTACTCCAGTTTTCTCCACATTCCAAAGACATGCTAGTAGGATAATTGACTGCTGTCTAAATTGGCCCTAGCATGAATGATTGTGAGTTAGGGATCTTAGATTGTAAGCTCCTTGAGGGCAGGGACTGATGTGAACATACAATACATATGTAAAGCTTTGCATAATTTGACGGCACTATACAAGTACCTGTAATAAATAAATAATTAGATGACAAATGTTGAAAATAAAATCCACAATTATATGCATATACTACCTTAAGCAGAATGCAAAGTGTCAGCATGATACTAGCCAATTTTCTACCCAATTCTATCAAAACTAAATGGAGATAACGCCACTAATCTAATGAAGAGATTGCTTGGCATGCATTAAATACCAGATGAGCAGGTTGAGTAGAGAGTATCAAGCAAGGGGTGGTTATAAACTTTGAGGTCCCCCATGTACAGTATATGGGATTTTTTATTATGTACAAAAGCACAATCTTCAATCAAATTCTATAAAGTGAGTAAGAGTTGAAGGGCAATGTATGATTCTAGCCACCCATCTTATTTTACACATTTTATGACACAAGTCAGCTAAAAAAGATTATATTTCATTCCTACATCAATTCCATAGCACAAAACACAAAACTAGCAAGCCTGTATGAAAACACATAGGTACGGTTTACTACTTGTCACTAAATGGTAACCTAAAAAGTATCAGCTACATCAAAACATTTGATAAGCTTTGAGCAGCTTTACAGTAGCTTTTAACCTTTGTCTGAGTGTGTTAAATACAAACCTCAATGGCAGCGCTGGCTGTGGTTTTAAACAAGCTTTTGGCAGGCTTTAGCCAGTTTTTACACAAATAAAGTGGCTGTAAAACTCTGGAATGAAAAAGTAACAGAGCATACTTTTCTATAGTGTATTTGCCTTAGTCCAAGGTACCAAGTGTGATTTCTGTCTCCTCTCTCCTTCCTTTGCCATCTGCATTAGTTAATTCTGACAGGTTATTCCAGCGCCACAACGTCTTGTGAGACAGTCCCAGCCCCTCAGCACACAGCAGGTGACTGAAAACCTCAGCTGTGCATGTTAGTCTATGGGACCATGCAGAGGGGGTGTGTCCTTTCCGTCCACTAAGGTCTTTAATTACACTGGGCTCCCTCTGCTTTATGCTGTGCAGTGTGTGACATAGATCCCCGCCCCCGGCCTTCTGGAGCTAAAAAAAGAGCTTAAAAAAAAAAAAAAGAAAAAAAAAAAAAAAGCTTTTGATCTGTGTGTCTTACAAGCTATAAACAGGTACAACAGGGATATTGGATTCCTATTGCCAAAGCCCGGGACTTGTAGTTCCGGGCGCCGGGCAGGTAGTTTTTTTTCTTCTCTTCTTTAGCACTTCTGTGGGCAAGCAGCGCGCTCACCTGTGAGATGGAAGTTACCATGTCAGTGGGATCAGATCGTACACAAGTTCTGAAATGATCATCTTTGTCTCATTTTTTAACATCACAGAAACCTGACCTTTTAGCAGGGGTGTGTAGACTTTTTATATCCACTGTATAAAACATTTGCATCAGTCCCTAACCCTCAAGGGGCTTACAACCCAAGGTCCCTATCTCGCATTCATACATACACATACTAGTGCCAATTTAGACAGGAGTCAATTAACCTACCAGCATGTCTTTGGAGTGTGGGAGAAAACAGGAGTACCCGGAGGAAACCCACGGAGGCACAGGGAGAACATGCAAACTCCAGGCAGGTGGTGTCGTGGTTGGGATTCGAACCGATGAACTTAGTGCTGCTAAGCGGAAGTGCTAACCATCTAGCCACTGTGCTGCCCTCCACTTAGCCACTTTGCTACCCATACAGCATAGAAGGGTTTTCAACCACTTTAAAAGGTATAAGTTCATTTTTGGGAATATGAAACAGGTTCCCACTCCTGCAGCTCTCTAGCTGATGCTCCCCCCCCCCCTTCCCAGCAGGGCTCTTTTCCCTGCACCTGCTGTCACTATTTGAAAAGAGTGCAGCCATCTGGGGCTCCGCCCACACAACTGCTTCATTCATAGAGTTCTGTGAATGAATAAACTACAAGTACCAACAGCCTTTGCAGCTGAAGGCTTGTAGTTCTCTGGTGAGCATTCTCGTATTTAACTGATTCTTCCTGGACTGAAGTAACTGCCTACCTATATTGCAGGTACGGGCAGACAGCTACATTGAAGGACCCTGACATTGCACCTGCGATCTGCTGACCGTGGGTGCAATTCCTTCCAGACTCCTAAGCAAAAAATAATAAATGTTTTACCTGGAAAAAAGGTGCATGTATTAATTTATAATTTTTTTTTTTTTTTTTTTAAAGGTGAACCTATCCTTTAAGCTGGTCATACCCGTTAGATCGCTTTCTTCCAGTCTGCATGTTGGATGAAAAAACATAAGTCAGATTTGCCTATCCGGACTGTATGATCTCTTGCTGTGCCTATTGTTTTCTAACAGACACCACAGATGGCTGTCTGAATACTTGAATAGCAGCTGCATTTCATTGTATGCAGCTGCTGTTCTGCTAAAAATTTTCCATCCAGCTCCTTTGAATACTCAAAGAATGTCAGGTGGGAGTTTGGCGACAGGGCCATCCACGTAGGGAATGCAATGCATATGGCCACCTTGACCCTCGGTTCACATATGTGCGGGTGGTGCCGCTGCGGACCCGCACGAAAAATCCGTACAGCCGTACAACCCACACAGCGAAATGCGGAACCGCTGGTGGGTGCCATTATTTCTAATGGCACGCCGCCCGCACTGGAAAACGCAACCGTACTGGAAACTGATGTTCCCGTGTGGGCTGCGGTTTCCAAAAAAGTGCAGGGACTTCTTCCCTGTGTGTCACGGGCTCAGGAGTCCATTCAAATGAATGGGCTCTCATGCCCGTGCAAAACGCAGCCCCGCGCGGCCGCATATATGTGAACCGGGGATTAATGCCCGGTTACACCAGTGAGATTTCAGGTGCGATTTGAAATTGCATCTAATGAATGTGAATATCAGTGTCTTAACATGTGCGATTTCTAAAGTAGTTCTTGCATTACTTTTTCTGCAGTTTTGTTGAGATTTCACATACATAGAATATAATGGAAATCGCACTGCAAATTGCAAGAAATCATTAAAAAAATCTTCACAAGTAGCAATAAAGTCTTCAGAAATTGCACAGAAAATGCAGTTACAGTCTAAGATATACCAAATCTCATTCTGCACTATTAATTTATTCTCTGTTAAATCGTACAGGCATTGTCTTTATTGTACTGTGTGAAGATTCACACATGTCCATAAACAATCAGGAGTATAATTTAGACAAAAAAAAAGAAAAAAAGGAGGGAGGGGGCACATCAAGACTGCCATATGCTATGCAATTACTTGAATCACACTCAGAGGCTGTGATAGCATTGTGGAATAAAGCTCCAGAGCAGCAACTGACAAGCTTTTAACAAGCCCAGTCCCTGCGGAATTACACTACTAATTAATTGGTTCACAATGAAAACAGACAGATCTTGGCTGTCAATATATGCTAGAAACAAATTAGACTCTATAGTCTGCCACATGGTTCTATGAATTATACACATTAGAAGCAGGAATTTGTTTTGTACTCAGGATCGCTTTTTTATATGTGGAACATATGGCAGAGCGAAGAGAGCCTAAAATAGAAACCCTTAAGTGGCTTAGCTTTAATCTGCATTGTCGTGTATTACACTACTTTTCATAAGCCTGAACAGAGTCAAAGAAGACGAGATACCCTCAGGGAGCATCATTTCATTCTGGGGAGAGAACACTCACCTGCTTTGACCCACCAAAAAACTGTTGAAAAAGAATATATATTTTTTAGCTGCAGAAAAAATGACAAACACTGCTAGAAAGTCCAAACTGCCTGTGGGTTGGAGTTCTAACATTTAAAAAAAAGAAAAGAAACTCTGCTAATGCCCAAGGCTAGGTTCACACAACAGTAGAGAAGCGACTTACAGGCATTCAGAAGGCAACACTGGCAATGTCTTGTCTTGTTCTTTTTTTGGCCTGAGATTTTGAATGAAACAAATCTGCCCAATGGCAATCATGGCTGCAGCATGGGTCCCCCTAACGTCAATGGGCGAGTTTGACAGACCGTTCTGTCAATCAAACTCTGCAAGTTAAATTTGCCATGCCTGCAAAGTATCTCAGCCGTGGGAAGTGTGCAATCCCCTTCCGCTACCTAGTAACACTATCAGTGAGTGGTAAAAACATACCTGTTTTTACTGCCTGTCTGAAGGAGGCCTTACTCGTTAAGTTATTGAAGTGAAAACCCAACGCCTGCTTGTTTACTTTTGGCAAAAGTTCTCTTTTCTTTCAGTTTTTAGATGCTAAAAAGCAGCCATATAGACTAAATAACCAGATGAATGGAAGGCCTCATGCACACAAGACATTTTGCAAACTCTCCTAGAAGTCTTTCCTCCTGGCAGCAGCATTTTGGCAGAAGAAAAGCCTGATGCTTGTGAAAGTGTCTAAAGCTTTACAAGTTTTTAGGCACGTTTACAGGTGTCAAGAGCTTGGACGTTAATTTAATTGGCCAAAATAATAAATTTATTCTAAATAAACCTTCCTAATAAACCTAGGGTTTTTTTGGGGTTTTTTTACTGCCTCTAAAAGCTCCTGCCACTAAATGCTACTAAAAGCCTATGTGTGCATGGACATATACAGTCAGGTCCATAAATATTGGGACATCGACACAATTCTAACATTTTTGGCTCTATACACCACCACAATGGATTTGAAATGAAACAAACAAGATGTGCTTTAACTGCAGACTGTCAGCTTTAATTTGAGGGTATTTACATCCAAATCAGGTGAACAATGTAGGAATTACAACAGTTTGCATATGTGCCTCCCACTTGTTAAGGGACCAAAAGTAATGGGACAGAATAATAATCACAAGTCAAACTTTCACTTTTTAATACTTGGTTGCAAATCCTTTGCAGTCAATTACATCCTGAAGTCTGGAACGCATAGACATCACCAGACGCTGGGTTTCATCCCTGGTGATGCTCTGCCAAGCCTCTACTGCAACTGTCTTCAGTTCCTGCTTGTTCTTGGGGCATTTTCCCTTCAGTTTTGTCTTCAACAAGTGAAATGCATGCTCAATCGGATTCAGGTCAGGTGATTGACTTGGCCATTGCATAACATTCCACTTCTTTCCCTTAAAAAACTCTTTGGTTGCTTTTGCAGTCTGCTTTGGGTCATTGTCCATCTGCACTGTGAAGCGGCGTCCAATGAGTTCTGAAGCATTTGGCTGAATATGAGCATCCACCACAGTTGTTTTCCATGGTCTTCCGGGTCTTTTGGTGTTGCTGAGCTCACCGGTGCGTTCCTTCTTTTTAAGAATGTTCCAAACAGTTGTTTTGGCCACGCCTAATGTTTTTGCTATCTCTCTGATGAGTTTGTTTTTGTTTTTTCAGCCTAATGATGGCTTGCTTCACTGATAGTGACAGCTCTTTGGATCTCATCTTGAGAGTTGACAGCAACTGATTCCAGATGCAAATAGCACACTTGAAATGAACTCTGGACCTTTTATCTGCTCATCGTAATTGGGATAATGAGGGAATAACACACACCTGGCTATGGAACAACTGAGAAGCCAATTGTCCCATTACTTTTGGTCCCTTAACAAGTGGGAGGCACATATGCAAACTGTTGTATCTCCTACATTGTTCACCTGATTTGGATGTAAATACCCTCAAATTAAAGCTGACAGTCTGCAGTTAAAGCACATCTTGTTCGTTTCATTTCAAATCCATTGTGGTGGTGTATAGAGGCAAAAATGTTAGAATTGTGTCGATGTCCCAATATTTATGGACCTGACTGTAGGCCAACATGCAGGGGAGTTCAGAGGCAGGAAAAAAAAAAAAAAAGCCTGACGCCCCTAGAAGCAGCTGCAAAAATGTCCAGTGGGCATGAGGTCGAAAGGTTTGAAGTTTTACTCTGTAATTCTATATTAGTTATTCTGGATGGACACTTACCATTTTGAGATCATGTAGCCTTCATTTACAGAACACACTCTCCAGTCAGTGGCTCTGGTTCGCTTAATCTCTCGATCCCAGTCACAGAAAGTTTCAAATAGTGGTGTTTTTGAACCATTATCTCCTCCACCTCCTGGATCGACACCATTGATTTTATCCACTATAAATAAAATAAAGGAATAAAAAATACAAAAAACGGTAATGCATAGCACTTGCCAGTATATCCTATCCACAGCATGTTACATATTGTCTGTTTGCCTTTAACCACTTGCCCTCCTGAGGATTCCCCCCCCCCCCCCCCCTTCCTGACCAGGCTATTTTCTGCGTTACGGCACTGCGTTTCTTTAACTGACAATTGTGCAGTCATGAAACACTGCACCCATATGAAATTTACATCTTTTTTTCCATGACTTGAGCTTTCTTTCGGTGGTATTTGATCACCTGTGCGGTTTTTTATTTTTTGAGCTAAAAAAAAAAAAAAAAAAAAAAAGAAGAAAAACAAGGCCGACAATTTTGAGAATAAAAAAAAAAAACAATATATTTTTGAATTTTTACTATTAAACATGTCCAGTAAAAAAATGTAAATGAATTGGTTTACGTGAAGGTTATAGCGTTTACAAATGGCAGTATATATATTGGGATTCTTTGTTTTTTAATTTTTTTACTAGTAATGGAGGCAGTCAGCATATTATAGCGGGACTGCGGCGGACATTCTGACACCGGTGAGAAATGATTTGGTGTCACTGACATCCTCAGTGACACCAATACATGATCCGTGCTATTAAAAAAAAAAAAAAAAAAAAAAAGCACTGACACTGTACTAATGGCACTGGGCAGGAAGGGGTTAACATGAGGGGCAATCAAAGGAGTTAACTGTGTGCAGGGAGTGTTTTAGTAGGGGTTGGGGTGTGTGTGCTTCACTGTAATCACACTGCTGTGGATGGCTGTGGACAGCAGTGTGCCTGAACTGACAGGGAGGAGGACTGTTCATAAACAAAACTGTCCTCCTCCCGGTTGGAGATCCTTGGAAATCACTGGGCGCTGGCGAGTAATTACCAAATTTGGCCCGGTGATTGACAGCTGCGGACACGAATGGCGGCGCAGGGAGGGCGCGTGCACCCCCTACCCAGAAATGCAAAATCACGTATATATACACACACGTGATTTTGCGCACCCGTGCCACCCAGCAGCAGTATTTCTGCTACAGGGCGGGCGGGAAGCGGGTAATAATTTTGTCCCTACCTCACTCCGTAGTTAGGGGATGCTTTATGCAGTCAGTCCCACACTTCTTCTTTTTCATGCTTTATCATACATTCACCACATATACCATATTCTGCTGGCGCTAGACACTCATTTTTTTTAACCTATCTGATGTTCATCTGTTACAAATCTGCACAAATTTTTGGATTAAAGCTTTCTACAATCTGCAAGAGGTTGAGTCACTGTCTACTAAACTACTCAGATTGTAACTTGAACCTATCTCACCACAACTGGATCAGTTATAAAGACCACACATCAGTGCTTAGATTGCGGAAGCAAAACAGCAACAAAAGTGAAAAAAAATATCAGCTATAGGAATGGTAACAGAGACATTTACCAAGGCAATGCTTACCTGGATTGTGATACATCTTGGCAACATACTCAAAGGCAAATAGAAGCTGGAGGTCTGTTGGCTGAGAGTAATGTGCTAGTGCAAGACATACCTAAAATGAAAAAAGAGCAACATTTACAAACGCTTACTTGTGCACATAGGAGATACATACAGTAGCTCTGGCCGTAGTATTAAAATGGAATGTACAGTTGTTTCCATACATTGGTGAAACCCCCAAAAAAAAAACACAATTCTGCCTGGAGATTGGGGGGTAGTTTGTTTAAATTGGAGCTAACCCCCTATGGGAGTTAAAGTGACGAAATTGCAAACAGGCAGGCTCTTTATTGCAAAAGAGACATGCAATATCTCTTCTTCAATAAAATGCACTTATCTGCCTGTTTGCAATCCCCTGTAGATTGCAAGCCCAACTAAATTCTGTCACGCTCTCTGTGTGCAGGGAATTCTGTACTCCCGCGCATGTGCAGGAGCGATGCCATCCCACACCGGTCAGGACAGCCGATGACCACGGAGAAGATGTCGGTGAGGGATCCAGCCAGCACCGGACCACTAGAAATAGAGCAAGCATTTTTTGCCTTTAGTTCCGCTTTAAGGGTTTTGTTTTTTCTTGTTACCAATATACAATTTCTAAAATATCGCTGAAAACTATCTTCTGATGTTAGAAGACTATTGAATTTTACAAATAAAGAACATTATAAGAATTGTGGTAGCACAACATTCTTTACTGACTTGTGTTCAAACAGCACTTTATAGTGGGAATCACTACAGACAGATCAACTGAAATAAGTAAACAGGCGTTTGTACCAGATCACTTCTCAGAACACGGGCTTTGTCATTCATTCCAAAATCAAGCCAGGTTGCGGTGATTCACTGAACTACAACCATGCAGCAATGTTTTCAGGAAGTTTCTATGAATAATCCTGTTGTTCCCTCTTTTTCCTGAACTCCAAACCCCAGTTTGGCAGGTTGCATAGAGAAAGAACATTATTTCTATGATAAAGAAAAATCTCTTCTCTTCGCAGATAATGTCCAGAAGACTTGTACAGATTTTATTGATCGGTGAATGACTCTTATATGCTGGGAAAAACATGAGTATTCCAGCAGGAATCTGGCAATACACAACTTCTTGTACTCATTCAGGACTCAGTTGTTCAAATGTAGCAAACGCTTTCAAGAACGACTGTGGAAAATTGTATCTGCTCTCGCTTAAAAAAGATAAAAGTCTGAAAAAGTTTTTTTAATGCATTTTCTGCATTAAAATAAAATAAATCAAAACAAAACAAAGCCGGGATTATCTGTTCAGTGTAGAATTACTGCATGAAAATGTATTGATTTCATTTCTTCTCAAAAGGTGAATGCAGGCCATGAATGGGTCGAAATCGGCCGATTTTGAACTACAAACCAGCCGATTTTTGGATCGTTAGTCAGAAAGTTTTTTTCATATTTTCTCGAGTAAAGTTAGATAAACTCCCAAATCGGCCGATTTGGCGGCAATAGTGGGCTTGAACGATTATTTTATTACCGATAAAAATCTCTGCGCATGAGCATGACTCTCAAGAGGAAGACCAGAAGACTTGTACAGATTTTATTGATCGGATGAGGATGAGGATGAAGAAGAAGAAGAGGATGATATATGATGGAAGAGCATGAGATGAGGATGAAGAAGAAGAAGAGGATGAGGATGAAGAGAAGAAGAGGATGAGGATGAAGAAGAAGATCTGGCAGATAAGAAGAAAGGATGAGGATGATCTGAGGATGATAGGATGAAGAAGAGGATGATTCAGGATGAGGATCTGGAGGATTGTTCAAATGATAGCAGAAACGAAGAGGATATGAAGAAGAGGATGAGGTCAAGAACGGACTGATGGAAAATTGTATCTGCTCTAGGCTGAAAAAAGTAGTCCAGCAAAAAGTGTCTCTGCAGAAAGTTGACAGTTCCTTAATTACATTGAAACATTCTGCATTTGTTTAAAAAAACATCTGTATCCTAAATGGAAACAAATAGATACAATGTTTCAACCGCTGTAAATGTGAAGGAACTGTCAGAGAACTGTCAGATTCCGGCTGTAGAAGGGATCAAAATCGGCCATTTTTTTTACACATTGATGGTATCGTCGGCCGTTGAACGACCGTCGTTTTTTAAAAGAAAAATCTGCCGGTTTTCTCCCCATCTATGGCCTGCATTTACACTTTAACTTAACTGAAAAGGTGTGATATTGAAATTTTACATGGGGGTGAGGTCAGGGTGGTGTATAAAATAGTGATGATGATCTCAAAATTAATTATATATACACAGTGGATATAAAAAGTCTGCACACCCGTTAAAATGTCAGGTTTCTGTGATGTAAAAAAATGAGACAAAAAGAAATCATTTCAGAACTTTGTGTACTGGTGTGTACCGATTCCTATTTAACATGATTTTGAATGTGATTGCCTAATTCTGAACACAGCTACATCCACAGTTGTAAGAGGGTGTGCACACTTCTGCAACTACATTATTTCAGTTTTTTATGTTAACTCCCCCCTACAATATTTCAGTTTGTTTTTCAATTGTGTTGTACAGTTTATAGGTCACATTAAATGTGGAAAAAGCTCTGAAATGATTCATCTTTATCTCATTTATTTTTAAATGGCAGAAACCTGACATTTTAAACAGGATAATATATAAACACACACCTCAAGGAAGTTAAAGGAACACTTTTCAATCAGTATAGCATCAAGTCAATTAAACTCCTGAGATATTGATCTAGTCAATTGAGTAGCAGAGGGGGTTGGTAATCAGTTTTAGCTGCTTTGGTGTTAATTAAATTAACAGGTGCACTAGATGGGCAAATGAGACGACCTCCAAAACAGGAATGGTTTTACAGGTGGAGGCCACTTACATTTTTCCCTACACATCTTTTCTGACAGTTTTTCACTAGTTTTTCATTTGGTTAAGGTCAGTGCCAATACTGGTAGCATGAGGCAATACCTGGACCCTACAGAGGTTGCATAGGCAGTCCAGCTCCTCCAGGATGGCACATCAATATGTGCCATTGCCAGAAGGTTTGCTGTGTCTCCCAGCACAGTCTCAAGAGCATGGAGAAGATTCCAGGAGACAGGCAGTTACTCTAGGAGAGCTACACAGGGACACAGAAGGTCCTTAACCCATCAGCAGGACCAGTATCTGCTCCTTTGTGCAAGGAGGAACAGGATGAGCACTGCCAGAGCCCTACAAAATGACCTCTAGCAGGCCACTGGTGTGAATGTCTCTGACCAAACAATCAGAAACAGACTTCATAAGCGTGGCCTGAGCTCTGTTTCTCACTACCTGGCACCATAGTGCTCGATTGACATTTGTCATTGAACACCAGAACTGGCATGTCCGCCATTGGCGCCCTGTGCTTTTCACAGATGTACCCCTGAGTACATGTGACAGACGTGACAGGGTCTGGAGAAGCCGTGGAGAATGTTATGCTGACTGTAACATCGTTCAGCATGACAGTTTTGGTGGTGGGTCAGTGATGGTCTGGGGAGGCATATCCATGGAGGGACACACAGACCTCTACAGGCTAGACAATGGCACCCTGACTGCCATTAGGTATCGGGAGGAGATCCTTGGACCCATTGTCAGACCCTACACTGGTGCAGTGGGTCCTGGGTTCCTCCTAGTGCATGACAATGCCTGGCCTCATGTGGCAAGAGTATGCAGGCAGTTCCTGGAGGATGAAGGAATTGATACCATTGAATGGACCCCACGCTCCCCTGACCTAAATCCAATAGAACACCTCTGACATATCATGTTTCGGTCCATCTGACACCGCCAGGTGGCACCTCCGACTGTCCAGGAGCTCAGTGATGCCCTGGTCCAGATCTGGGAGGAAATACCCCAAAACACCATTCGTTATCTCATTAGGAGCATGCCCCGACATTGTCAGGCATGCATACAAGCACGTGGGGGCCAAACAAACTACTGAGTACCATTTTTAGTTTCTGCAATGAAATTCCAGCAAAATGGACTAGCCTGCTTCATCAATTTTTAATTGAATTTTCTGGGTGTCTTTGAATTCAGTCCTCTGTAGGTTGATAATTTTCATTCCCATCAAACAATGGGGCATCCTTACATTCTTAACACATTACCAGTCCTTATCAGTATAAATATCCAGTGTGATATTTTTCCACATTGAGATCTGATGTGTTTTCAAAGTGTTCCTTTCAAACAAAACATCAAGCAATATACCTGTTTATGTTGCTTCAAGACCCATTGAGTGCCTCTTCTACTGGACTGTTTATGTCTACTTACCCTGAACGTACCTGGGCAGTATGAGTGTGGTGCCCACCACTGCTAATATAGCATACTATTAAATATATAAATAAATGTGATAAATTTGTACAATAAATATTGTGAACAAATAAATAAACATCCAAACTGCAAAGTAACTCAAAAGTGCACAGTGTGTGAAATGGTGCAAAAGTCCAAAGTCCAAAAACTTTTGTGAAATGTACACTCAAGAAGTGCTCTGCATGTGAGACCTTCACCTCCCCTTTAACTCTCTTCTTAAGTGTCTGACCCCCTTCACACAGGTCAGATTATGCATATCTTTAAATCAATAACCAGGTACTCAAGGCTCCACATCAAGCACCTTCCTGAAGTGATATGTTCTGCACCAGAATGGTTTCCAAATCTGAGAAAGAAAGGGAAAGAAAAGGAAAGAAAAGGAAAGGAAAGAAAGGGAAAGAAAGGGAAAGAAAGGGAAAGAAAGGGAAAGAAAGGGGGAAAGGGAAAGAAAGGGAAAGAAAGGGAAAGAAAGGGAAAGAAAGGAAAGCAAGAAAGATCTCAAGGGTAGGTATAGAGGCACTCACAGGTCTTTCAGCAGCTATAAATCATAGCATTTTATGCTCAACGATGTTGCTCAAATATCTTAAGAAAGACGGTCTAAACTCCATCAAAATGTTTGATCATATTGCCTTTCCTAACTATACACATGTACATTTAAATTAAAAATGCTGCTACAAAAAGACAGGAGTATTTTGGTGTATGTGAACGAAGATATTTTGTTAATTGGATACTGTTCATTTGTATATAAGAGGTCAGATTCCAACTGTCTAGTAGATCTCGTCTCTATACTGCTAGCAAGCCACATATGGAGATTGCTTAGGAAAATTATCATCTTGCTCATTTGAATACTTTTGACTCTTGCCATAAACAGACATGCACTTTATACATTTTATGATTTTGAGGGTTATTACAACGGGTCTGTTGCTATGTACTTAAAAACTAAAATTTGTTAGAAGTGGTTGATAGTAAAAGTTAAAGTACAACTGACAGGACAGAAATACTGTATGTACATTAGGCGGCTACTATTTAAAATTATTGCCTTGATATCGTGCTGATTTCTCCATTCAACAGCTTGACTTATTGAACCACATCAAGTAAGCAAATCAGATGTAAAGGTTTGATAAAATGGTATTGCTGAAGACAGATTTTGGTTACACTCACCAACCAGAAAGTTTTTACCCCTTCTCAAGGCCTAAACATATAGGCTCCAGTAGAGTTTTTACCCCTTCTCAAGGCCTAAACAGAGGCTCCAGTAGAGTTTTTACCCCTAAACATAGAGGTTCCAATGATTAAGTCCTGATAATGAGTAAAACAGAAAAGTGGACACTGACCATCTTCAGACCACATTTACAGGCTTAAGGCCTCATGCACACAGGACGCTTATTTAACGCTCCTAGAAGCCAGCAGCATTTTTGCAGAAAAAATGCCTGATGTTTGTAAAAGTGTCTAAACCTTTACAAGCATCAAGCTCTTGAGCTTTAATTAATTTAATTGGCCAGAATAATTTAAATTTAAATTTAATGCTCAAGCGCTAAACGGGGCCTAGCGCTTTTAGTAGCATGAATCGTTTTTTTGTGCCCAAACTCTACTGCTCCTGGATGCACTGGAAGTGAGTTTTTTCCTGCCTGTAAAAGCCCCTGCATCTAAAAGTTTCTACAATGTGTGCATGGACTCACACGATCACCTTGTGGGGGTTTGGAAGCAGTAAAAAAACAAAAAAAAAAAAAAAAAAAAAAAACAAAAAAAAAACAAACACAAAAAATACTCATGCCCCTGAAAGTGACTGCAAAAACGCCTTGTGTGCATGAGTCCTGATAGGTAATTAGAAACATTATTTTCCAAAAAGCTGTTCAAGCCACACACAATTGCTCAGTACAAACACATTACCTAGAACAGCAAAAGGAGTATTTTTTAATGAAAACTTCATTACCTTTTTTGCACTTTCTGGACCAGATTCATCAAAGCGAAATCGGAGAATGCGAAAGTCTTTACAATAAATGATTAACTCTGTTGGGTTGAATTTCAACTTTTTGTTGAATGACAGGATCTTCTGCTTTCTCTTTGTGTCATTTACTAAAATAAGAAACATTCTATCATGAACTTCCAATTTACACTACAGTTAAAACATTAAAGTGGTTGCAAAATCCATACATACACCCAGTGATGCGACTGGCCTGAGGGGACACACAGAGATGGAACAAATCCTTATAGACTAGTTTTAACTGCCTATCTGCAGTCTTCTCTTCTCTATGTCTGTTCAAAGTGCTGAATTTATAATGCTCATCTGAGAGTTCAGAAAAAAGGGGGCATGGAACTGAAGTTTTCAGTTTCCAGAACATAGCGAAGTGATCTCTGAGAGTTGATTGGAGGGAAGAGGCACACCATCCTCCACACAGCCCACAGGAATAGAGCTGAGGCTGTCAGTCTGCTGGAGCTCCCGCTCCCAGTCACCATTTTTCTCTTGGTGTCAGGAAAACTTGTCAGAAATTACTTGTGCTGATAGCAGAGAAAAGCAGCAGCAGACAGAAATTACACTTCGTGTTCCTAATTGAGCCAAGAACCCACTAAAGAGGGATATGGTTTGTTCATATTTCATGTCTGAGGTTTACAACCACTTTAAGTATTTCATATCAAGGCCATATCAGGACCACAAGAAATGGTTTCCTTTGCTTCCGTGCCATAACAGGTCAGGACACACCTTTCACAGGTCTGACTTCAGAAAGGTGAAAACTGGTTGCTATGGCCTATCACCCTCACTGTAAGTCTGTATGGTTACAGAACAAAAACATGTTAATGTAGTTAAAATGTAAAATCACTTTCTTGCCATTAATTCTGTTTTCTGCAGGGCAAGCTCCCTCATTCTTATCCTGCTCTATGTTCACAGCTGTATCTCAAAGAAATAAAGAATTTACTATAAAGAATCATGTGACCAGAGAACACAGTCCCAACTAGAAGGGCATGTGGGAGAAATCTTGCTTCAGTGGAGTAGCATAAAATGTATACCAGCATATTTCCAAAAGACTCCTAAACAGAATTAGGAGATCATCGATCAATTTATTTTATCCTACTCCAGTTTGAAACTTGAAATGTTCACAAGCTCGTTAACATGGCCACTGGTGTGTGCTGGGAGGCAACAAAACAATGCTGATGCATTAATCTTGGCACATCTCAGTTTATGTTTTTTTTGTTTTTTTGTAGGAATTTTATTGAAATACATCAGGTGGTGTAATTCAGTAGACTGGGTCACACAAAGTTGCACCGAAAAAAAAGTACTGGATGCCATACCCTACCCTTTTCAGCTGATATTTCTACATTCTGCCCTCCTAGGAAACAAGACTTTTTACTTTGTCTTGCATTGAGACTGTGCTGGCAGTCCCAGGGCACCTAGAGTTAATAAGCACTTAATCTTCATGTCACAAATATGGGACCCTGAATCCGTAATGTAAGAGTCCATAAACTTTCCAGAATGCCACAGTATAACATTTTGTATCACAACTCTAGTTAACCAGTTACCAGAAATTCTATCATTTATTCTATAGAATATATCTCTATAATATATTCTATATAAAATGAAGCAATGGTCAGTGAAACAGATGACAGCTATCCTTGTCATTCATTTTGGTTACTATTGCACCCTGTTACTAGGGCAAATAAAAGGAACACGTACACACCTGATTCTGATGTGCATTGCTTTACATACCTACAACAATTTGCTCTATACACGTTAGTGGGACATCATGTTCACCCAGTAGGAGATTCTTATAGTGGAATTTCTAGAGTAAAGAAAAAAAAAATAATAATAAAAAGTACAACCCAAATAAGATCAATACTTTTCCCTAAGAGGATACAACATCTACACAGAATGTAAAGTATAACTAAAGGCAAAACTTTTTTTTTTTTTTTTTTTAGCTTTGCATAGCTCGAGTGTAGAGGGATTACACCTGTCAGTTTTTATTGCTGTCTGTGACCCTGTTAGGGGGATTCATCCTCTCTATTTCTCTAGTTCACCATTATCAATGACCGTGAAAGTAAAAGAAAATCCAAATTTTGGGTTGTCCCCAGAAAAGTAATAGAGGGGAAATCTTCCAACGGGGACACTAGTTCTGGTGACCTGGGGTTCCCCAAGGAATTCCCTTAATTTGAAGGGATTTCCTCTCACTTCCTGATTAGCTATGGGACAGGAAATGAAGGTAAATTTCCGCAATGGGACCACAGATGGCAAAAAAAAAAAAAAAAAAAAATAAAATAAAATCTGACGGGTTATAACCCTCCCCTGCTCTATCCAAAATGAAAAAAAAAAAAAAAAAAAAAAAAAAAAACAAAAAAAAAAAAAAAAAAAAAAAACACTAATGTGCGCTCTTGCAGTTCATTGATTCTTCCAGCTCTCCAGTAACTGTCTGCCTGTACGAGTGGTACATGCAGACAACTTTACTGAAAGTCTGCAGGAACCTGCATTGCACCCACAGTCTGATCGCGGGTGCAATGCAGGCACATCTTAAATAAATACACTTTTTTTTTACCTTAAAAAAAAAAAAAATGTATGTTTATTTAATTTTTAAAGTGAACTTATCCTTTAGCCCTGCATTATGTGGTGGGGGTGAGCATGCGAACACAGCTGGGAGCAGCTTACAGAGGAGGCCTTGGTAGACTGGCCACACAGACCGAAGGAGCCTGCGGAGCAGGGAGTCAAGTGATAGTATAAGTCGAGCATTGCAAAAGAGACTAAATCTTATAGTGGTGGGGGGGGGCGTCTCACTGTAAGGAATTTTTAACATTGTACCCAGAGTTGGGGTTTAAAGAAATAAAGCAAACAGAAAGTCCAACCATTTTTAATGGGCTTAATAAGAAAGCCAAGGATTCCTCAGATTTTTATGGAGAAGAGTGAACCAGTTGAACAGTTCAACCAGTTTGACCAACTCCTTGGTCCCCTTTCCTTTATCTAAAGATCAATCAGAGAATGGACAGACATCAAAATGTGTTATATGAAATTAATTAAAATAACACACCACTCCATTAAAAAAAAAAAAAAAAAAAAAAAAAGAAGAAGTAGGCATGGAAAGAATTTTGTATATTTTGACGGAGCTGCCAACCCATGACATGCTAACCAGCGAATGACCAGCAGGCTCTGTCAATCAAAATGTAAAAAAGGCTGGTGTACGGTTCCTACAGGTAACAAGCAAAACGACCCAGCAGAAAAGATTAGGTGTCAATTACAAGAAGAGATAGAGGTCATAGTTTTATATAGTTCTGAAGGTGTCTTTGCACAGGTGTGAAGTGAATCATCAATCATAACTGTCAGCAGAACTCTTAAATAGATACAAAATTCAAATGTCTGAATGTTATGTCTACCCGTTTGGGCCTGTGCCGACATGGGCCATGCCAGTCAGGAACTTACATCATCACACAGGTGAACACAGGACTGAGAGTTGGCATATTATTTGAAGGCAAAGAGTAAAGAGTTTCACATCTGTGCAGAGCAGTGGTACTCAACCTTCCTAACGCCGCGACCCTTTAATACAGTTCCTCATGTTGTGGTGACCCCCAACCATAAAATTATTTATCCAGTAATTATAATTCATGAAGTGTCGTTTTACCTCCAATACTGCTGCTTTCAACACAGTAGCTGCTTTTAACAGAGTAGCTGCTTTCAACACAGCAGCTACTTTCCACACAGTAGCTGCTCTTTACACATCGGAAAATACGTGTTTTCCGATGGTCTTAGGCGACCCCTGTGAAAGGGTTGTTCGACCCCCAAAGGGGTCGCGACCCACAGGTAGAGAACCACTGGTGTAGAGGCACCTTTACAAGCATCCTGCCATGACAGAAAACTGCGATCTGCAGTTGCTGATTTGTTGAAGAATGTTAGTCCTCCTGGGCTTTCAGTGCTTGGCGAGTCACTGACCTTCAGCAAACGTGCAAAGCATTGTGATAGCAGATATGCACATGCTTATTCCAAGTCTGAGGCTCACTAAGCATTGATAGAAAAATTAAGGGGACAGCTCTGGAGTCTGACTTTTCATAAAAAATAAAAATAATCAGTAATGGGGGTACCAACATTTTCTCTCATGGATTTAGCGTCCACGTGCTTATGTAACCACTTGACCCCCGAAGGTTATATCTTTTCTGCTATTCAGCACTGCACTACTTTAACTGGCAATTGCCTGGTCATGCAAAACTGTACCCATATAATTTTTTTTTTCTTTTAACACAAATATAGCATTCTTTTGATGGTATCTAAGGACTTCTGCTATTCTCAATCTACACCCCTTCCCTGGATTACCTTATAGCTTCCCATGGTTTCCAATACCATTTCTATGCTGACGACACACAAATCTCTCTTTCTACTCTTCAGCTCACCCCATATATTCCTGCTGCAAACATGTATTTGTAAAGCACTTGTATGAAAAACCTACAAATACATGCAAACCAAGGTGCAACTTGAGGCCAAGGTAACTGCACGGAGATGGTGACTTAGTCAGATAGACTGGGCCCCTAGCAGTTAGCAGTGACCTCCATGGGATAATTCTCTTCCTTCTCCCTTCTCTTTGGAGTCTGTGAGCCTTTCTACCCCAGCAGCAGTACTCAGATTGGGTATTTTTGATGGGTCATTTCCTGCTACCTGTTAAACAGAACCCGCTGTTTCCCCTCAATCGGCCTAACCAATGTAGGGCTGCTATTAAATCTGAAACAATGAACATAGCATTTGCAGTGCAGAATGGCATCATAACTGGGAAAATGAGAGTAAAAGCATTTACAGTTCACATGTACAGATCAGCTTTTGGCAAATATGCTAAAATTAGCTTTTTTTTGGAAAGACAAGATCTTAAGGATGAATTCCAGTTATGGTATACTTTTACATAGTTACATGGGTCCATCTTGGAAAAATTTTACAATGTATATACCATACCTTGCATGTCCTGAAAGTAGGAAATTCCTGAATTAGACACAGCTACTCCAGTGATTGTCACTTGTCCTGGGTCAAGTGCTGAGTGGCTGACCTGATGCATTGTGAACACAGGAGGCCGTCCATTCAGCACAGAAAAAGGCCATGCCTAGAATTCATCTTTAATATCCTAGCATGTAAAAACAACTGGCCAAAAAACGGTGTATTTCTGCAGATGCAGTCTGCAAAAAAAATATATATAACTGTATAAATGGCACAAACCTGGAACGGCACAGAATTATCTGTAATGAAGGAAAGCTTGAAGTTGGTGCACACCAGTTTTCCCCACAGGTCGTAGACACTTGTATCTGATGCGATGCACTTCCTGACAAAGTTCACTTCATTCACAATTATTTCACCTTAAAAAAAATTGAAGAGAGGCAAAGTCAAATACCCAAACCCTAATCCAGAAAAAAGAGCAAACCATACATGAACAATATCCATGGAGGGGTAAGGCAGATGAGTCAAACAGAATCCCCAATTCTACACAGAAGTTGGTTTTAGCACCAGAAGTATTGTTCATCCCTGAATTACCAGTAGTTGTGTCAATAAGGTACGTCTGGTGTTAGGTTAAGATTAGAGGTTGAAAAATACACTTGGTGTTACAGGAACTTACAATTCTGTAAAGCCAATCTCATGATTACACATTTTACACCGAAGAGAGACCCAGTTAGCCCTTAATTAAAAGCCAAGCTCACCTTTGAAAAAAATAATAAATGTATATTTTAGCTGGAAAAACTTTTTTTTCTGGTCTGAACAGAAGCCTGCAAAGCATTGCACTTGTGATCAGTGGATGTTGGGTGCAATGTTAGGCTCCAGCAAACTCTTCTTCCAGCTCTCTGTCCATACTCTATATGGGCTTTCAGATGAAGAGCTGGAGGAGGTGTACATGGACTAGGAGTGTGCAGATTACCACACTCATAGTCCATTGAGTACTAAATCGCTGTCTGTCTACAGGACATGTAGTTCATTCATTCACAGATCTTTGGGAGTGAAGTGGCACAGCCATGCCAAACTATTCTAATAGTTTTATATAATGCAGCAACATCCACATATGTAGGACACCCAATATTAGAGATGATTTATTCTTCCAAAGAAAAACACACTTTTGCACACTAAGTAGTATTCTAGTGTTTCTCTTCTCCCTCAGTTTTTTTCCATCACTGAACTAATGTGACCTCAGTGCTGATGAAGAGGGGCAGGGGAAGATCAAACTAGGATGCTGTGCAGGCAACTGACATCCTCCTTATCAACTGATGTCACTGTTTGTCAGGACACCAGCGGCTAGAAGATCATAATGGTGCACAATGAAACCTGTGGCTGTGTGTAAATAAAAGGCGGGCTTGTTCCACCTGCTGGCATGTATAGAAGTTTTGGGCAATTTTTAGATGTTTTGCTAAGGCACCCCTGAAGAAACCTCCAAGCACTCTGGTTGAGAAAGGCTTCTTCAGAGGAACCCTGGTTGAGAATGGTTGATTTAGACACTCTGTTAACATCTGGATCCTAGACAACATTTCTCATGGGCACAGATCTATACTTACATGAATAATTCAATTCAGCATGAACCTTGTTTTCCCAGCCAGAAAGACTTATGTCAGAAATGATCAAGGTGAATCACTTTGCAACTTACTTCATTATCAATTAACAGATTTAGGAAGCTTTCTACTCCTGCCCTTTAAGCTATTTTATGCCACCACCTCTTCATCCATAATCATAATGTTGTGTGCCAAGTCCACCCCTTCACCCCCACACTGCAGTCATACACAGAGCTGTAGAGAGAAAAAAAACCTCTTCGGGCTGAGCTTGATATCTACTCTATCCCTCAGTCAGAAAATATCTCCACCCTGATCTACTGCAGATATATAGTGTTGTAATCCACCCAATATTTTATTGCAACATGAACAAGTTGCAGACATACTTAAGAAAAAAGGGTAACATAAGGCTACATTCACACGGGTAGCTGCTGCAGTGCTTGCCACCCCTAAGAAAAGCAATCCATGGTGGATTGCTTATCAGAGGCATCCAACAGGCAGTAAGGCAAGTTGCCTGCAGACTTTCTGCTTTAACCCTGCTTTAACACCCATGCTGCAACCGTCTGCATTACATACGATTGCGGTGCAGCCCCATTAACTTGAATGAATTTCCTTTGGCGGCAGTACTGCCTATTGAACGTGACAGAGGAGATCATTCCCGTCCAGCTGCCTTTGCAGCTAAGGGACGGTAAAAATGCAGCTCAACCTCCTGTTTTTAACACCACTCCCTTAAACCACATGTGTAAATGAGCTCTTAGTAAAGGTCAGTACTGATCACCCTCTTACAAGTAGCAGTAATTACACAGGTCCTTGTTCTTTAGAAGAAACCATGGAAGGACCAAAAGGCATATGTTGCCCCAGGAGCACAGTAGTCCCTGGGGGGACTATTATAAACTATAAGTATAATAGCGCATAATCTAACAAATTGATTAACTAATGATTTCCAGTGGGCTACAGTGGGGCAGGCTGGAATCATCCATTTAACAGCTATGGCTTTGCTAATATTTTTCTAGTATACCAAACAAATGGCAGGTGTACAGGGAAGAGATGGTTGTAGTGTGGTGTTGAGCACAGTAACCATTGGCTGCCAGTCAGATATGACCTGACAACCCCAATGACGTGTATGAAATCTGCCTCAGGCTCGTTAGATCGTATAAGTTGGAGGTGGCCATACATCCCATTTTGTGTAGTCATTAGGCGATGGGTATATATTTGATGTATAGTATACAAATGAATTAAAGTGATATATATATTTATTTATATTTTTTTTTTATAATTTTTTTTTTATAGCAAACATGTTATACTTACCTGCTCTGTGCAACAAAATTGCACAGTATGCCCCAATATGCCTCTTCTGCGGTCCCCCGCCGGCACCCCTCGCTCCTCATCTGTTCAATCTGCCAACACAGGAAGCCACTTCCTATAGTGGTACACTTGTGGGCTCATCCCAAGATGCACTGCCTGAGTCCATAGACACAGACCGTGTGACTCAATCACGCCCCCCCCCCATCCTCGTCACAGGATTTGACTGAAAGCAGCAGAAGCCAATGGCTCCCGCAGCCTCAGAAAAGACTGAGAGGGGAAGAGCTGCTACAGATGGGCAAAGTGCTGGATCGAGATAGGACTTGGGGAGGGAGGGAGATGAAATTACTGGAACATGCTTTACCTTAATGCATTGAAAGCATTAAAGGTATAAAACTTGTTCAGGTTTTAGAACCACTTTAATCTCTATTTGCTGCTGGTGAGACTAACATATGAGAGGAGGATATATCACCCCATTTCTCTGTATACAACACAGAGGAACCCTTGAAATAACTTTCTGTTCTCAGGGAACCCCTGCTAAACATTACTATCTGTACAACTCATGATATTCTAGTGTGATGGTCAATAAGAAGAATGCAATGACTTGTGGTCATTGAGAAAATTGAGATAGGTAAAAAGATCAATGGTATCAGTGGGGACTTATCTGAGAGGCAGAAATTGCTCAAGGAACCCCTAACAACCTCTGTAGGAACCCTAGAATTCCATGGAACCCTGGTTGAGAAACAATGTAATAGGTAGCAGGGTCTGAAATTTGGTCTTATTAGTCAGTGGATTCTTACACCGTTTAGTGTGTAACAAGTGGGAGTTGAGTGGACATCAACCCTTCAGGACCTTGAAACTTTAACAGGTATTTAGAGATGGGTTTATTTTAGCCCTACATTGTGCTTCCAAGCCATCGTGCAAATGTAGTAATCTCCAGAAGAAACTATGAGGTAAACCATGCCTCTACTGTATTTGCATGTATGAGTACTTTGTTCCGTCATGATAAATGTCCACAATAGTTACAGTAATGTGGATATTCTATAAGGCAATATCTGGAACTTCACTAAGTTGTGTAAAAAAAACAAAATTGGTGTCCCCCCGAAAGGATGTTTTTTGAGAGGTCCTGAAATGAAGTCAGGCATTTAACTTCAATCCACACTGATATGGCCAGTTTCAGGATGGGTAGGTGGGTTGTGTGGGGAATACTTAGGGGCCTTCAAGAATTTCAGCAACTGTTTGGAACCAAGAACATGTACCAAGTAGGCCTCCAAGTTATGGGGAACTACAGGGAGGACTCATGTGATCAGGCATTTTAGCGGTCAGCAAGGATATACTGGATCTCTTTTTTGGCCTTTGTAGTGTGGCTAATTATGCACATTTTATTATCTCAAATCAAAGAGATAACTTTGTAAAAACACTCCTAAGTGTTTCAAACCCCAGTTAATTTGACAAACAACAGTCTTGTTCCAAAGAAGTACAAGATAAACATCAGTTTACAAATGTGAATTTGAACCTCATAAAATGGAGTTTCTGAATGGTTAATTATCCAGATGTTTTTGAATCCAACAGAATCTTCCCAAACACTACTCATCAGTGGCACACATTGTTCTACTTAAAATGGATACAACTTGTCCCAGACATGGAGCTGAATGGCATGTGACTTGCAACAATAAAAATATGCTGTATAGATCCAAGGCAGGCACTCTAAGAAAACACATTGTTAAAATACAAACTTTATTTAACAAGCCACTTTAATATATCATTCAGCTTCGACAACTCCAGTTCTCATACAGAAAACATCAAAAGCAGAGGCTGGGAGAATGACATATACAAATTCCAGGCCTCATATACACTGCTGCTACCATGGAGCTTTTGGTGTTTTTTTTGCCAAAGCCCCTCTACTCAACTCAATAAAATCCTATGTGTCCGTGTACACATAGGCATTTACCAGAGTTTAGGAGCAGCAGAGTTTAGGGGCAGGTAAATGTTTCTCTCCTGAATGCAGAAGAATCGCATTCAGGAGAGAAGCGTTTTGGCCAAAAACCACTAAACGCGTCAAAAACCTGTCTAAACACTAGCCGTATTTAACGTTTGGGTGTTTATTCAGGTCAATGAAAAATACTCTCGCCAATCAAATTTATAAGCGTCCAAGAATTTAATGTGGGTAAACGGGGTCCAAAAGTAGTAAATCTAAGTTTGTTCACAGTTACAGTATATCGCAGTTATAACTAGTGGAAGGAAGAAAGGCAGCTGCCCATAGTGAAAAGACCGCAGACTTGGATAGGTTTGCATACAGCAAAAAAACCATAGAAGAACAATATTTTTTTTCTTCACAACAAGCAGAGCTGAGCTAGGGAGTCCTCCGAACTTACCTCTAGGGGTCAACTACACTGCCAAAAGCTCAACTTTATTCACAAGTCTTCAGGAGCAAGAGAGCCTGGAAGCAACCTCCTCTCAGCTATGAAAACGCCTGTCACTTGTGTTTACCAGCTCCCTTTCTTTCCAGAACAGAGCAATTGGTAC